GATTCAAAAGCTTTTCTATTTTGACACTTATTTCTAGGATGAGAAGTTGAAGACACACAAAAGAATTACTGAAGTACCTACCAGATAAGCTGGTCATTGTAGAGGAATGCAGTATACTTGACTATGTTCAGGCTTTCTTCCATCCTATTAATAAACGACTGAATTTTCAAGTAAGTCATTTTATCCAGTGGGAAGAAGCTGATTCCACAAAACACATCCAGCAGATCACAAGACTGTAAGTGCAGTGTCTGCAAGTACTGGGAGAACAATGATAGGTGGCTTTTAGAATTCAGAAAACTGCCAATGTGTAGACTTAAATTACAAATTTGAGTCTAATCACCAATAATCTGGAATAACAAAGAAAGAAAATCCTTCCTGTTCTGCTTGTCTTGGGAGCAGATAATTAGCTTTCAATGTGCAAAGGAAGAGATATTTTCTGTTGTTCTCTTTCTTGATAGAGTGTAACCTTTACCAAGAGATTTCTAATGCACTCTCCAGTGCTCTGTGAAAGATGTGTTATCCAATGGCTCCCTCTACAGTCATTTCACATCACCAAAAACACACAAGTAATAATTACAGCGTGACAGATTTCTCTCAGTTTGTAATCTAAGTCTTATTTCTTTTCAGAGTTTCAGTACAGTGCAAGCCTGCCAGCAACATGTTGCTAACTTGTTCAATAGGGTTATAACAGACAATTTGCACGACTACATTTTTTAAGCTCTTCTAATTTCCTGATGAAAAAGAAAAATTTTCATTAGGTTTCTTTCTGTTATACAAATCTATAGAAATTACTGTTTTATCCTCAGTAGGAACATCAAAGAAAAACAATGTTTTAAAGATAAAAATACATTACTTTCTCTTTTGCCATGGTCTATTTTTAATAGACAGAAGCACACATCAACTCATCAAAGTGCTCCTTGTGCCAGTGGTGTTTATTCTAAAGCCTACAAGTCTTACAAACAAACAAAACAAGACCCTCCCCAGTCCACAAGCAAAGCCTGTACTTCTGTTTACACTGTCACAATGTTGTGTTATTTTAAAAATCTGTTAGGAGAACAAAATTTTAAACACCATTAGCAGTGTCTACACTCCATCCTTATCAGGGACCTCAAGATTCACATCTCTACCACAAGAGCACTAACTGCTGACAGCAGTCCTGTTTCCTTCTGTGCAAACAAGGAAAATGGGGGGCACTTGGCTGCCACCTTTTAAAGCTTGATGAAACTTTTCATGTAGGAACTCAAAATTCTGCCAGACTATTCAGTCAGTTACTTGGTGTGAAAAATACATGAATAATATTTGATTTCTTGGCTCAGAAATAGATTTTGCTTTTCATTCTTTCACTGAAACATCAGCTTTGAAATTATATTCTGAAGACTAGTTATAATGAAGACAATATTTCCTCTAACCTTCTCAGGCATGACTACTAATTCCACCTGGGGGTGTGGTAGGGGGAAGAAGTTAAAAATTTAAACTATTTACTACTTCACCCTGTGCAGCAGGGTGTGGAATCTCCACCCCTGGATCTTTTCAAGACTCAACCATCCAAAGCCCTGGGCAGGAGAGTTTAAATACAGTGTTTCCCTGCTTTGAGTAGGAGGCTGAACTGGATGACCTTCCCAGGTTCCTTCCGAAGGCAATGATTCTGCAACAGTAACTCAAATAAAACTCAAAACCGGTATCATAGTAACCAATTCAAACAGCAAAACAGAATTTCCGAAGAATGAACACGATTCTGTTCGGTAAAATATCCAACAGCTAAGCTGTTCCATCAAGCCATATCCATGCTTTGTGGTTCAACTCCACTTGAAGAACCTACTGAGCTAGTAGAAGCAGGAAGTATTTGACAAAATGAGTACCCAGATACTTTGTGTTGCCAGCACACGTTTTCCACTGCCTATGTTTTATAGTCACACTGCTGCCACTTAGAGGAGATTTTTGCATCTTATTTCCAATGCAGAATCACACTTTATGTGCCTGAAAAATAAGGTCTTACCCGATGGAAGAATTTCTCTAGTCTCTCCTTTAGACCTTTCACACCTCCATCTTCCATGGCCTTCAGGAACGTGCCATTGAAAAGCTAACAGTTAAAAGAAAAAAAAATCAGTTAGTTGGGCAATCATTTACAATAATTTCTTGTAACTTGGCTATGAATATAGCTGGATTACAATACACCTCCCATTCCTCAGTATTTGTACTCCACATCAATCCAAATGTACCCCTTCTTTATTGAAAAAACATCTCAGATTTGCAGAGTCCAGGTAGATATGGCAGCAGAGGCAGAATATTTATGTGTCATTTAAGTGTCTTATGCTCTTGTTTTGTAAAAGGCCTTTAACCAGGGCTGTTTCTCAAGCAGATAATAGCTAACACCATCAAAATCAAATACTTATTAGTGTAACTGCCCATGAAACTTGGACTTTACAAAAATTAGAAGGCTTTTATTATTACAATAAGCTATTGAACCAGCACAGAGCTGTATTTTTCTCTTCCATGAATTCCATTTCAGCTGCAGGAAGAGAGCAGATAACAGTGGTGAGATGAGAATGCCAAAGCAATGATGAGCTTGCACACCCAAAGGGTACCATGAGGATCTTCTTCCCTTCCCAAGAGGAGCCTCTGGTATTAACTGTACCTTGTACATGCTGTAGCACTGCTGCAGGACCGAGCTATAGACCTTGTCCTGCAGGAAAGAGAGCAGCACATCAGTGAAGCAGAGGCAGAATTACAAGTATTTTGGCTGAGCTAAACGTAATGTATGTTTTCAAAGAGCCAGCAAAGACACAATTTAGAGAAATCAATCTCTGAAAAGTTAAATAGCATTTTCAGTCAGCATTTAGAAATGCTTTGTACTGTCTTTGTACTCATAAAGTACAGTTTCAATAAAGGGAGTCCCTTCCCCCCCTCACATTTAGTACCCAAAGCACCTTACAAACTCATGCCCAAGATTCCAATTACAAATAGTGCCCTCCCTGAGGCCAGCAGCCAGTGAACATGGACCTACTTCTGGCAGCTCTCTCTTCACCTAGGTCAAAGGCTGAAGGAGGTGGGACACCACAGCAGGTTTTTGGGGCTAAGATCTTAACCCAGATGCAAAAAGACTATTAACTGGCAAAATAGAGTCCCTGTGGCACCCATCCTTTTGTTAGGACACAATAAGGAATGGAAGTAGTGCACACTGCAATGAACAGGGGAAGGGGTAACCAACCAGCTTTTTAAATATTACCCCACCTGGCCAAATACCCTTCCTGTATATGATTAAACAGACCTAATGATCCTGCAGTTTGGACAAGAAATCTCAGGATAGTTATGAACTGCTTGGTTTTCCAGATTATTAATAAATATTACTAGCAGTCTTAAGAAAGTAGTAACATGTACACTTAAAACTAATAAAAATATGTAGACTTAAAATCTTGCAAGAACTTCATTAAACAAACAGATCCTAAGAAATATTCACCTATTCCAATCTAGAAATATTCACCTATTCCAAGCTAAAGTCTCATAGCTACATATTTTGCTAATGCTTATTGGATGATCTTGAACTGTTCTCTGGATAATCCTCTGTCTTGTACTCTTCTTTCAACTTGATTGAAAGTACTTTGCCCTCTTTCCATTTATGGAGATAGATATGGATATATAGAAAAATCAATTTGACAGCAGTTCAAGAAGAATCAAACTAAGGTATTTCTGGAAGTACCCATAAAATACAATATAACCCATTAAAAAAAAAAAGAAGAAAGTTCAGTCTTACCAGCAATTCTTCTTCCTGATATTCATAGACTGGCTTTCCATCTTTGTGTTTTTCTATTATGGGATTCCGTACAACCTAGGAAGTGGAACAGGCTGGTATTAGACAATGCAGAATGCATGGAGAACATTGCAGGATGGTGCTTTAGGAACATGCAGATCACATGCATAAGTACCATGACCATCCAGAAGTTTTCTTCAGGTTCGTGGAAAAACTGTCTGTTCTTCTGTGTATGTAGGGATTTTGCTGGTTTTGTTGGACTAAAGGTCCTGGAAAGAAGACATATATGCGGACACAGGTACTTATACACAGTCACAGCAAGAAGACATATGACTTGAGAGATTTAAAATACAGTGCTTGTGCCAACACAACAAGCCATGCAATCAGACTTCTTACCTCGTGAATTGCACTATAGCTTCACATAGCCCCACATTTCTAATTTTTTCATTCTTTTCTACTTCATTTGGGTGATAGAAGAGAATCTTCTTTTCTTCCTAAAATGTGAAAAAAGAAGAATCCAAGCAAATGAATTTTAACAGAATCAGAATTAAAGAATACTGAGCACACGGTTTGCTTGTTTTTTAACTTTAATCCCTGTATTTCCTAGGCAGAATTTTATCTTATACCAAAATGGGCTTCTGTAATAATGGATAAAAGCATATTTAAGCACATTTAAGCAGTCAGTCATCCCATGATATCTCAAAATACTTTATAAATTGAAGGCTATTGAAATCACTTCTCAGCTAGTTCAAAGCAAGGCGAGCTTCAAAGCCAGATCAAAGCAAGGCTAGTTTCAAAGCCAGCTCAGATTGCTCCAGGCCTTGTCCAGTCATGTTTTCAATATATCCAAAGATGGAAATTCCACAACCTTTCCAGGCCCTGCTCTCCTATTATACCACTTCACTGTGAAGAATGTTTTTCTTCTAGCTCATCAGAATTTCCCTTGCTGGAACTTCATCCATTAGGTCTCATTCTTTCACTTCAAGAACCCGACTCCACCATCTCCAGCCATTCTTCAGGCTGGTGAAACTGCCCTCAGACCCTCTTCCACATCGTCTGTTCTTCAGGCTGCACAAATACAGTTGAAGGCTCTCCTGGTACGCCACAGACTGGTTCGAGAGCTTTTCACTGGGCTTGCTTCATCTTGTCAGTATTTTTGCTACCCTGGGAAGCCCTGGAGGAACACAGCACCCACCAGCAGTCCCACACGTGCTGGAGAGGGGGAAGCAATCGCTCCACTGGCCCTGCTGAGCCACAGCCCGGCTCACCCGGCTCCACTGCCACAAGCGCTGCTGATTCACGTACGACCTGTTGGTCACCAGACTCCCTGGTCCTGTTCTGCAAAGCTGCTTCCAACCAGTCAGCCCCTGACCTGCCATGGTGTGTGAGATTATTTCACCCCACACACGGGACTTTGCCTTCGCTGAGCTCCACCAGGATCCTGCCGGCCCATTCCCCAGCTCACCGAAGGTCCCTCCAGAGCACCAACAGCTTGCCCCGGGTTGGAGTCACCCAGGAGCTTGCTGGGGGCACTTTCAGCCTCACTGTCCCATCACTACTAAGAATGTGAGTACACTGCTCTGTTCAAAAACTATTACAGCTGAAGATTATCACATAAGCCACACAATATGCTGTTTTCTAAAGTTAGAGACTAGAACTTGAGTTTACTTGTTAAGGGTCACGGCAGCAAGAGAACTTCAGCAGTAACTGGAATTTAACGAAGTTAAACAGTAACCTGTAACAGTAATAGTAACCACATTGTATCTACGTCCAGAAAGTTATTTTTAGAGAAAGTTACAGCATCAGTAAAACATAGTTACTGCCTGTCCAGCTCCCCATCTCCAATACAGGCCCTGCCGGTGACAACCCCCCCGGTTACTGCTCCTGTTCGGTCTGAAGCAGAGACCGATCCCGGCCCCGCTGACACCCAAATCCCCGGGGCTGCTGCGGGCCGGGAAAGCCGCAGCTCCGGCCGCCTCTGTCGGGGGCCGGTCCCGGGCCTGGGGCAGGGCCAGCCCCGCCGGGAAGTGCCCGCCTGTCCCCGCAGCCCCGGCGGCGACAGCCCCCGGTACCTCTCCCTCTTTGGGCCCCAGCTTGGGGTTGTAGATGAAGAAACTGAGGAGGGTCGGAGCGAGCTGCTTCTCCTGGCCGGCCCCCCCCGCCGCCGCCGCCATCCTGAGCCTGGGGCCGGCAGCCGCCAGACACCATCGGGAGCCCGAGGCCGCCCCGGCACCGGCACCAGCCCCGGCCCCGCCGCGCCTGCAGCGGCCCCGGCCCGGCCGCCCCCCCGCCTCCGCCCCGGAAGAGCAGGATCGGCCGGGAAGCGCTCCCGGCAGGCGGGGATGGACCCGCAGCGCCCCCGCCAGACACGGCGGGCACGGGAGCGGCGGGAGCCCAGGCAGGGGAGGCCGGGGGGTCCCGGTGTTCCCTCAGCGAGGGGCTGTGCGGGAACCTCCAGCGGGAATCACAGATCCCTGAGGGGCACAGCCCCTCCCGGGCAGCCCCAGCCGGTGGGCCCGGGGGTGCCGCTCTGCCCCAGCGCACCCCTGTTCGCAGAGGCAACACAGGCGCCGTTCACTCCCCTCTAACTCGTTCAGGGCGGCCGGAAAAAGTAGAAACGATTTATTTTTAGAGTTAGAATTCGGTGTTTGAAAGATGAGATCGACAAGTTTGAGTACGTTGAAGGAAATGTAATCCAGCATGACATAGTGCAGGTAATCCTTTCACCATAAATATTATGTCTGTTCTGATTATTTTTCAGGTTTTTTGTCTGGTATTTTAAGATAGTGGCATTTAACTAATAAAATAAGCTTTTCTATTAGTTTTCAATTCCCATTTTAATAAAATTCAGTGTGAACTAAATTAGGAGTAAAAACAGCTACATGTGCGGACCGGACGGGTAGGAGGGACACAACAGGCCGAGCCCCAGCATTCCCAGACAGTTGTAGGAAATGCTTCCAAAACTGCAGGGAGAATCTGCTTTATCATTTCATGCAGGTGTTTTCAGAGAGGCCACAGCAGAGGGTGACTCCTGCCCCTTGCCAGCAGAGCAGGATGAGGAAAGGCCCTGCTGTACTGGGCTCCCCAGGGTTTCTCTGAGGAAGCATCAGGCCAAACATGACAGGATAAGACATCCACATACAGTAATTCTAATTTTCTACCCTACAGCTCTGAGTTTAAATTCAGCAGTGTGTGCAGATGAGCCCTTTCTTTAATAGTCTGTCCATTTGAAGGCTGCAGTACAGTTGAGACAATTTCTGGGAACATCCAGTCAGGATTGAATATATCGAACAAAAAGAGCAGTTCCCCTCCTTGTGCTCTGCAGCAGGCAGGGGTGAGGTGGTGATCAAGACTGTCAGAGGGAAAGTTAATTTCTTCATGCTACTCACTTAAAGCAAAATGTGGAAATTCTTAAAATTGGTGCTATTTATAGTCAAGTTAATTAATTTCTCACCAAAGAAATTATGAAACTGCAGTGACTGTAGATTTTGGATTGTGTTGGTTTCAATATTTATATAATTGTTTATAAATATTTAGATGTGTATTTGGTCAGGACTTAACAAGATGGAGATTCTGGGCTATGACTAAGGTGCCTGTTTACTGCTGTAATACAAATACTGGTGCAGGGGTTACGTTGTGGAGGCATGTGCAGTTGGACAGTGGGGACTCACTGTAATTGGTGATTGCTAAGGAAGGTGTTTCCTTGCCAAACATTCCCTAGGAAGGGAATGAATATATGTGTAGTGATTGATAAAATATAATTCTGCTTGGTGCAACCTCATCTGTAACTTGACATTGCTTTTGGTGGAAGTATTTGTGAGAATCTACAAAGTGTAAGTGATAAGAGATTCAATTAAATTATTACATTTCTAATGTACACATTAACAGGGCAGGAAGAAACTTCGATTGTGGTTCCAATTTCATCCCATCTTCTTAATTGTATGTGCAGTAACACCACACCTTGACATTTGCAAGGTGGCATCAGATCACCCCGAGTTTGAAATGTGATTCCTAGCCCATGATTATGTAAAATTAAACTGCTGCATAAGTACATGGGGAATTTGCAGGACAACCCCTGCATCAAGAGGCAAGCAATTAACAACTTTATGACTGCTGTCTAATTTATTTTTAAAATAACATAGGAGTAAGAAATAGTATTGTGTAGGCATATGTTTTGGTTTGTTGAACCTATTTCTGGATACTATTTTTGGCATTTCCGTCAGCTGCATAGTAGCAGACTTAACAAAAAGGTATACTATAAATCACTCTGGGTGTTAGAGCTGACAGCTTTAAATAAATACAGCTGACAGCTCAAATAGCTGCTCCATTGACAGTATGTGGTCTAAATGTGTTAACAAATGCGTAGACTCAGCAGTTTGGGATTAGTTTAGCAAATAAATTACAAAATAATGCTGTGATCCAGCAAAAAGCACAATGCCTGTGTATCCCTGGTCTGTAGGCTTTGTTAACACTGTCCCAGGCCTCTGAAGCTCTCTGTGAAAACACAACCCTGCAGCTGGAGCAGGGCTCCTGCTAAGACAGCACTCACCTCCCCCAGATTCCTTCTCAGTGTGGTGTCAGGGAGTGTGAGCAACAGTGTGAGTGTCGTGGTGAGTAAAGATGGTCTAATAATGGATGTATTTGCTTTGCAGGGTCAGGGATTTCATAAAGGGAGATGGTAACCTTACACTAGCTTGGGTTATGATTAAGGACACAAAGTTACTGAGTAGCAATAAAAAACCGCTTTCGTGCAAAACTCGAGATATTTAAATGTTTTGGTTTGTTTAATGTGTTGTTACCACAACACATAACATAATACTCGTGAAAGAAAAGCTGGGAAGAGAGGATGATGAAGGGGCTAGACTGTTAAAAGGATTTCAGCTCTGAAGATTAATTATACTAATAAGTTAATTATTTCCCTGATGGTCACTGCAAGAAATGAGAATTGCATGAAGAATGATGTCATAGTTTGACATATTTAAGGGATGGCATTTTTTGTGCTTAGAGGTTGAATAAAGCTACTGTTTATTCTTTCATATTTTAATTGTAACTATTCACAGACAGGATAGCATGGCACAGAGTATTATAGAGTACATACTGTGGAATGGAACTCTCAAGACCTGTATTTTAATGTAATCACAAGTATTCTGGTGTTTTCCAAAACTGTATTTTTATAGGAGTCGTGTCTAGTGAGTCATTTCAGTGTGCAGTGTACAAGTGATAATTCTGATAACTAGTTGCAACTTCTGTTGCCATCTCTAAGTGTGATTGTCAGTGGTGGCTGATTTCTGACTGCTGCCTTTCATGTCAGATCGTTGTGCTGAATGCAGCAGTCTGATGCAGCCCTTATTTCCATCATGTTCATTAAAAATATGCTTATACCCATATCTGTATGTTAAATGGGGGTTAAATATGGCCAACATCTTTAGTTTTTCCTTCCTTGTCAGTCAATAAAACCCTGCCCAGGAGCTTTCTCAATTACAAGTGCCTACTTGAAGCAGTTGGAATTCTACACACCATGTCTCCAGAAGGAGTATTTTGGTTTAGGCCAGAGAGCAGACAAGTATCTTTGTCAGTGAGTAAATCCAGTTTGTTATCACTATCACATGTGCTATAAAAGCATTCCAAAATATCATCTAGTGTTTCAAGGATCCCAGGGAAGGAATAAGTTGTTTTAACTTTACAAGTTTCTTCCACTTCAGAAATCCTACAAGTCAGGAAGTGTTTCTTTACTTAAAATGTTCTCCCACAAAGAGCAGTAATCTACTGGGGTAGGTGCTGTACTATTGAGGTTTTTTAAGGTACTCTTTTTCCTGATGGAAATGCGTGGAAAGAGTCTTTAACTGCAATGTTTTGGATGTCAGAGAGATCTCAGAATATCTCAAGTAGAGTAACTTTATTTTTTCCTGTTTGGTGCTGTAGTGAAAAACTTTTATACAGTAATAAGTTATAGATGAATAATTGAGACATGTTTTGGATTAGTAATGACCAACAATGTTTCTCTGAAGCCTTTACATACAATTTAGTTAAAATTTCATGTCAGGCCAAGAAGTGGTTCCTTTTTGTTTGTTGCCTCTTGGTTGAACCTGAGTACATTTTGTTGTTTTACAGGAACTTCAGATGCAGACAGTTGAGGTATATTCTTCTTCCTGGGGAATGAAGGACATTCTAATTTTGCTCACAAATTTGTTGAGGGCCAGGGCACTGCAGGAATGCTCTGTCTACCTGTGCCACTGACCTGCTCCAGCATGTTACATCTTAGTGGAGAGTAACCGGATTTGTGCTTTGCCTCTGGGTTTCTTTGTCGAGGTTCATGGTGCAAAGGCTGAGGCATTGAGGGGAACTAGAGTTCAGAGTGTAACAGCACCTGGAAAATTCTTTATTTCACATGCATTTGCCTGCCTGATGCAACGTGATTAGTCAAGGTCAGGACACCTAATTGTCAGCGAATTGGAGAGCACTTTGTTACTTACATGTGAACTACTCCAAGACCCTTCTGTCATCAGACTGATTTCATTGCCAAGAACACACTTTATTTCTTGTGACTATCCTGTGACATCCACCCC